ATATATAATAATCTGGAACATTATGGGATGGAGCTCAGAGTTTTTGTTTGTGAGCCAAACCCTTCTAAGCTTTGCTGTGGTTGCACGTCTGAAAAGAAAATTAATTTTACTCTCTCAGAATCATTTACATAATCTTACTCAGTGATGACCAGCTTTCTCCCTTGGAGCTATTTGCTAGGGGGTGGTGGTGCTTGTGTTGTTTTTAAGCTGGAGCCTTTCTGTTTGCAAGCATATACATTCTCTTTCTCTCTCACACACAGGGAAACTAAACCACTACAGTTCACACGTTCTTCTGTCCTAAGATTAGGAGACCTCTGCCTGCCCTGTTTGCCTCTCCCCTTGTCCTCCTCTAAGACCAGTAGCTGCTGACTGTCATATGTGCATGCTCCTAGTAGAATTAACAGCTATAGGAAGTCAGTGGAATACTACTAAGGGGTCCCTTCTGTTTTGGAAATGTCCAGATAAAAATCTGCAATTCATGGGCAAGAGTGTGGGTATCAGGATGAGTGAATTGTTTTGGCAAATTTTGGTAGCTTTGTTTTAGAAGAGCTAGGGCAGGATCCAGTGTTGGGTTTCCAGTAGCACAACAGCAACATCCAACAGAACTACAGTAAAAGGGCCACATGTCCTTCACCCTTCACTTGAAGAAATCATGGTCATATCTAAGAGATGCATTGATTTCTGTGGGAGTGTTCTTGTTTTGATATTTGTTCCATGTGAATGTTTTAAATTAAAAACTGACCTGGTAAATAAATATGGGTTTGAATCCCATTACAGTATTGCTTGTTTAAGGTTTTTATAACTTGCAGTGGCTAACTGCAGCTAATTGCCAAGGTCTGGCGTGCACCTTGGTGGCATGGTCAGGCATGTGAACCAGGCAGCTAATGAACATGTCCCCCAGCACCTTGTCAATTAGCCATAGCAAGTTATCCAGACCTTATGGGTACACAAATCGAATTCTGTCCAGGAAGCTAAAATTACGGTAAGCATTGCTTGTAACTGCTCTAATTTTGCAACTATGTTGCTTTGCCCACAGACACGCCAGGACTGAAAATCTGCTTCACATCCAAATCTAGGGATATGTTTTATCACTGCATTCCAGTTCTGGTTTGTTTGGAAGTAATTAACAGTAATTCTGTTTATGGATGAAACTGACAGTCATTTTTAATTGCAACATCCTGATTTCTTTACCAGTTCATGCACAAAGCGAAAGTGAATGAGCTGTGCATATGGGAAAACTGCTCATGTACATCACAGCTTAAGAAGCCAAAATTCATTGCTTTCCATGATCTGTAAAAGAATGTGGCCTATGTGGCATCATGCCCCTGCATCTTTGGGGTAGGCTTATGTCATGTCGAATGTGTGCTTTGTCAAACCCTGAATTTAAATAGTTAAAAACAGAAATTATTAGATGGGTTATATCTTGATGAATACTAAACAAAATGTTACCATTCATTTATTGCTGAAATCTACGTCCCTTGAGGCAAAGCCTGTTACTTCCAGCTGATTCTATATCTGGTCCTGTTTTGGAACTAACTTTAAGTAAAAAAGCCTGATGTCAACATCTGGCCTAATTGATCTTGTGTTCTTTTCTTTTTCTCTCTGTTCTCAGGCTCTGTAACACCCAGCCTAGTAAAGAGTCCTGTAGGGCCTGATAGTATTAACTTTTTGGGAGATTTTTGTGGTCTAATAAAGTTATTGCCTACTCTTGTTTTCATATGTTATTACAGATTTTTCTTGCTCCTTTTTTGCCCTCTTTAATGTGTTGTAAAATTTGTGTCAGTATATATGTACAAACATGTATGTGTTTGAAAAAAACAAATATGCAGTATTGTTCCATGTATTAAAATAAAACAGACTTGAGAATCATCCATTCTAGCCATCCACCTACCTACCTACCTACCTACCTACCTACCTACCTACCTACCTACCTACCTACCTACCTACCTACCTACCTACCTACCTACCTACCTACCTACCTACCTCTTTTACTGTACTTGGTTGCTGCCTTTCTCTCAGGTGGTGGGACTGAAAGCAGGTGGGGGCAGTCAGAATCTCTTTTAAATCAAACTATAGAGGGTTAGATATTCTTCAGACTAGTCTCCCATGTCTTTTGTCAGATAATAACTATGAGTCATTTAAAATGCTATGTCTGAGTTTCCTTTTAGTTTCTGCCAATTATCCTCCTGCAGAACTTTGCCATTGCAGTAAGAATGCCGTCACCAGGTGTGACAGATTGCCACTGATAAAAGAGTTCCTTCTTTGATTTTGAACTGTACGTGAGGTGTAACAAAATGAAGTTACACATACACCAAAAATGGGAAAGCAACACATTAATTAGTGGCAAACTGCTGCTGCTGGTGACATTATTCCTGCTGTGGCCAGAGCTCTGCAAGAAGATACTGACCACTATACTGATACTGGAAATAGTTATAATGTATTAAAAGGAGACTTGGTGCAATTACCTCAACAGTTTGAATACAACTTTGGTTGTACTATTAACTATGTTTCACTAGAAAGAGCTTCAACTTGTAGTGCAAAGTAGGCCAGAGTTATCTTTGAAATGATGTAAGTCTATGGGATATTACCCAATTTTGAATGCAAGTCAATTAAATGCCAAAAATATTGGCTGAAGCTATGTTGTGCAGTACTACCTGCGCCATGGAGTGATGTCATCAGCAGTGGCGAATCTGAGACAGTGCCTGGAGGAGGCGGGGCTGGGAAGCCAGGATGCTGCCTCCGAGTGGGTGCAGCAACAGATCAGCTGTGTGATCATTGGCCAAACTGTCATTAACTGGTTCGTGCCCACCTCTGCTGCTGATTAAAAGCTTCATTTGAGGATTTGTAGCTGCAGGCAGCTTTAATAAGCAGCAATTAGCATTTAATCTGTGGTGATTTGTCACAGGTGATAATGTAATCTGTGTTGCAGGCTTGGAAGGCTTTTTTTCCGGGCCTTATTTTGTTCACCTTAGGATACCACTCTGTTTGTGCACCATTTCGTCACCAGAGTAGATATCATTCCGATAGTACAGGAATGAGGAACTCCATCAGGGTATGAAGTGGCTCTTGGAGCTCCCCATTTTTTCAGTGGCCTTTTATGCTTTTGTTGAGAAGGGGCCAGGAGATATAGGTTTTTACTGAACCCTGTAGAAATTAGCACTGCACTCACATATGGAGTACATTAGACCTTTAATTCATTCAAATACATTTTTTCCTTAATCTCCGTACTTTTATTTTTATTTTATTTTTTTTATTTTTTATTTTGGACTTATATACCGCCCCATAGCGTTACAAGCACTCTCCGGGCAGTTTACAATTTAATTATACAGGCTACACATTGCCCCCCCCCCCAAGCAAGCTGGGTACTCATTTTACCGACCTTGGAAGGATAGAAGGCTGAGTCAACCTTGAGCCGGCTACCTGGGATTTGAACCCCAGGTCGTGAGCACAGTTTTAGCTGCAGTACAGCATTTTAACCACTGCGCCACGAGGCTCTTCTTCTTCTTTTAAGGTGCAAAGGAACAATATTCTTTTGAAGTTCTCAGTCAACAAGTTGTTCTTAGCACCCTGACTTTGACAAGAATCTTGGTACTACGCCTATGTACAGTAAACATTTCTCTTGAAAAAAATAAGCAGATGTATGTAGTGTGAAGCTATTTCTCTTCTTGCAGTTAAGCCTATGTTCTTGTTTTGCTTTGTGTAGAACTAATATGAAACACATGAGGCTAAAAAAATACTTAAAAGAAATATGTGATCGCCAGAAGAAATCTCTGCTCCGCAATCAAGATTTGTTAAAGGAATTTGATTGGTTTGAAGCTCATATTAGAAAGTTTGCTTCACGTTCAGAGTCTCTTCAAAAATTAAAGGTAGTATATTCTGTATTTTGATAGTAGAGGTGAACTTCGATAGGAACGGTCTGAGTGTATCCATACATTTGATATTAGGCAGTATAATTTCTAAAATAGTTCTTTTGTCTGTGTGATACATGCAGATGTGCACCAGAGTGGTCTTTTGTAGCTTGCACATAAAGAAGAGTTGAGGGCACAGTAGGATTAAATAGTCGTCCTGTGGTATTGCTGTTCTGTGTCTACCTTCCTCATTTCCAAATATAAGAGGGCTTGATTCTGTGACCAGTGGATCTTCAACTGTAAAGAATTAAGGCAAAAATTTATCTTGCCATTTCATTGCATTTTTTGTTTTCCCCCCTTTGTGAAAACACATGACTTTTAATTTTACTGGTTATTGAGGCATTCTAAAACGGCCTTATGTTCTGTAAGAGCACTGTTTGATTTTTTAATTTTATTTTATTACCCACATCATGCTTCTGTTTTGTAGTTTTTGTTCTAGTGTCTTTTAGCCACTGCTTTCTATTTGGATTCATTTGGAGTTTTTTTTTCTTGGCCCTTTTCTTCTTTCTTTTTGTTTAATCTTTCAGCTCTCCTAATGGTCTCATGAAATTACCTTACAGTCAAATATTTTATGTGATTGGTGATTTTTGAAGAGAGTATAAAAATTCTAGAATGTTTTCTTTAGGCACATTGCAAATATGTTGAAAAGTGGTGCAAAATCGTAGGTGTTCTAGTGGATACAAATGAATAGATGTGGAATGACTCTTCTGTAAGTGCAGGGGAGGTGTGTGCTAATGCAATAAATATTGCAAAAAATGGAAAACATATTGCATAAGAAATACCTTAACCATTAAGCCATTATATTATCCTGTATATGTCATTAATATATTTAAAATACCTACTGATACTGCTATCCAGGAAGCTCATTTAGTTTAATATAAAAAAGTAAAATAAAATACAGAAACCAAATATTTATTTCACTATATATTGCATTTTCATTGCCATATGGGTGCAATCTATCCAGTCAGAAAAGTTCCATTTATTTCAAAGGTGAGTTTATATGTGTGCTTAACTGTCCCCCTTGAAATTATGGAGTCTTATACTGGCTCAGCCTAGGCTTTATCACAACCTATGATGGTAAAGTTGTTTAATCGAAATTAATAGTGTGTCCTTTTATACTAGGCAGAATATGAAAGAGAAATGAAAAGTAGGCGGATACTTGAGAGAGAAAATATATTAAAACATGAGGAGACAGATGATATTAAACATCAGGTAAGTGAACAGAGTTTTACAGCATGTCTAGTCAGAACCAAGGACTTCAAAATCTCATTGAGTTCAATGAGAAAGTGAAGGGCATGTTTAAGTTCCTCCCATTAAAATTAATGGAAAGTCCTTGGCTCTTGCCATACCATGCCCATCACCTCAACTGAGGAGCTCTTAACGGCTTTTTATTTTGTTTTTTTTTTTAAATGTTGTTTCCTGCCTGGCAGTTTTTTTTGAAAAAAGTTGTCCTTCATTGTGAAATTAATAAACTGGAGGAAAGGCCTTCTCCTTAGCTTGTGTTCCATTCATCTCGTGTTCTTAAATTATAAACTGAAAAAGTATGCAAAATTGTTTCAATTGAAGTCTAAACATGTAGCATTTATAATTTTGTATATTTTGACCTTTCCCATCCCAAAAGACATCCCCCAAAGAAAAGATTGCTTATCTAAATGGCAGACAAAGCCTGACATGGAATACTCAAATAAATTCTGCTATATATCTGCAGTAATGCAGCCTTCTAATCCCTCCTCCTATCTCCATATAAATGATACAGTTCAAGACTAGAGCTGTTTTTCTTCCCTAAAAGCAGGAAAGCTCTTTCAGATGAAATGTCTAAAAACATCTTGTAATAACTTGGAGCATGCTGGCAAGAGTAGTCACTTGTGACTATATGTGAAACCCCCTCAGCTAGTCGATATTGTAATAAGCCAAAATGGGTAGCATCACTCCATTATTCAGAAAAGCCAACAGCATGCTTGTCCCTTAGGCTACAGCATTCATTAAGGAAAGCTTACTGGGCTGAAAGCTGGAAACAGATGATAACAGGATATGATTTTCATATTTAATGCATTCCTTGGAAGAGTATGTGTGCTGCAGATTGATAGAAGAATCAACTGCTACTTTACTAAAAGACTTTCTAGTTTGCCCTATAGCTACCGATGGAATCATTCAGCCAAGAAATTAACTTTTCCTCCTTTTACCTGCTTTATGTATCAGCTAAGCAGGCTGTCTTGCAGCCAGTAAATGTTATTATGCATTTAACTGTTTGGTATTTAAGACTCTTATCAGGAAAGAAACAGAGGCAACACTATTTTCTCTGTGTGTGTAAGTGTGTGTGTGTGTGTTTAATAGCAGAACGAAGGTTTTCATTTTTCTTTCTTCATTGCATTAGCAGGTGTTAATCTCAGTTTATAGATGGTTTCCTTCACCAGAGATTAAAAAGGTGAAGAAACCTTGAATTTAGGCCATTTGTCATAATACACAGAGCAATGAGCGTTACTGGTGTGGATCTATAGGAGCAGGACTTCCAAAATATGTGTATGACATTCAGTTGACATATTAATGAAACAATATGGATAGACTTCAGAAATACTAGCTTCCCTATGTTTGTATATATTTTTAAAATATCATCTGAAAATGTTCATCCTTGGAGGTTTTTGATCTTTACGAAAACTGCATTTCCTCATTGCCCTACTACTTGCACAAATGTTTGAATGTGAAAACTCCAGAACCCCTTCAGCACTACGGTACCCCACATCATGAATTGGTTGCCTGTTCAATTTTTTGAAATTAATCTTCTGCAAGTAACCATGTACACACAATAATAATGGTGCTTTATAAATAGGGATGTGGTGGCGCTGCGGGCTAACCCGCAGAAGCCTCTGTGCTGCAGGGTCAGAAGACCAGCAGTCGTAAGATCAAATCCACGTGACAGAGTGAGCTCCCGTCACTTCTCCCAGCTCCTGCCAACCTAGCAGTTCAAAAGCATGCAAATGCGAGTAGATAAATAGATACCACCTTGGTGGGAAGGTAAAATGACGTTCCCTAGTCACGCTGGCCATGTGACAGCGGAAACTGTCTTCAGACAAGTGCTGGCTCTACGGCTTAAAAATGGGACGAGCACCGCCCCCTAGAGTCGATCATGACTGGACTAAGCATGTCATGGGGAACCTTTACCTATTTATAAATAATGGTTGATATTCCAACAGCTTCCCATTCAAGCAGCAACATTTCTGTCCCTATTGAATTGGCTGGCAGAAGCTGGACAAACCTGGGAGGTATCTAGGGATGCAAGCAACTTCAGGGGAGCTTGGAAATTCTTTTTACTCTTGAAAGCTCCATGAATGGGGCTTTGGATCCCAGAGATTATTGAATTATCCTATAAAGCTGTTTGATTTTTTTAAAGTGGCCTAATGAAAGTATCAGCTGCACGTATTCATAAATGTAACTATTTTTGAACAATGGGGTTGGGGAGAAGAGAAATGAGATTTGTTAATTTGACAGTCTCAACATTGACAGAGCCTTTTGTAACAATCCAGAGAATAACTAACAATTCAGCTATGTTGATTGGAGAGGATGGCAAAGGATTCCTGCTACTGTCAGTCTTTTAGCTGGTAGATGGGACTTGCACTGTCTTTGTAATGGCCTCATGATGAGCTTCTTACTAGAGGAAGGTGATGTGTGTGTGTGTGTGGATATTTGGCCATCATTGGCTCAGTAGGTGGTAGGTGGAGCCACACTGAATATATACATATCAATTTAAATTGCTCAGGGTCACGTTTTTAGTAATAATTCTGAAAGTAGGTCCCTATTTTGAAGCAGTGCTATGACCTTAATGCTGTTACGACTAAGTACAAAGCAACAGATCAGTATCTCACTACTTCTGGATTCAGGGTGAAATAGTGGGCAGAATCCACTGTAAAGTTCTGCATAGGTCCTATTGAAATGAACTTGCACTGCTGAAAACACCACCCCAAGAACGCATTCCATTTGGTGGAACTGGTATAGAGCTTACTTCAAAGCTCCTTCTTTGACAGCTCTACTCTTAACATTACTTGTCCTAGATCAGGCTTGTCCAAACTGTGGCTTGTAATGTGGCCCAGTGCAATTTTTTATTTTTAAAGAAATGCCAACGTTTCAAGTTACAGTGCCGGCGCTTGCGGCCGGGGCATGTCACAACGGCAGGGGGGAGAGAGGGAAGGAAGGAAGGAGTCGGAGGGGAAGGGAGAGGGTGGCTGTGTGACTGCATTCTGAGGTCCCCGTCAATAGATGGACCCCCTCCCAGCCCCATAAAGCCACCGGAGTCGAAGCTGGTAGCCTCTGCTGTCTGAGATCGCAGCTGCCTGTAAGCGCGCTTGGAGCAGGGCTGCGGAGGACGGCTAGGGCTGCCCTCCCTTGCGGTCCAAACCAAATTTATGTGCGGCCCAAACCAAATTTTCATCTTCTAATATGGCCCAGGGAAGGTGAAAGGTTGGACACCCTTGTCTTAGATGCTTGCTTTACTTGTCCTGGACATAGGTGTGACAGAGTCTCTCTGCCAGGACATTACAGCATTGAACTGGCTGGAGGTAGGGGTTGTTGGCAAGTCTTTGAGTCTGAGTCCCAAGTCCAAGACTTTGGTCCCAAGTCTGGAGTCTCAAACTCCACATCTGAGTCCCTATTAAAAATAATCTCTTTTCCCTAGGGACAAAAGGAGGGGGTGAGTGGGCATGCAGAAGACCTATAGTTCCGTAGGTGGCACCTCCGTGTTAATGGATTTCAGGGAGAAGGAATCAGAAGGATTGCATGTGATCAGGAACTCCTTTGCACCTAATCAGGAAAAGATCTAGAAAGCTGCAGGGCTTTCTGACCGTATGGGACTAAGTGGGCCAATGGCCTGTCCTACACTCCAAGGCAATTTCATATGTTCCTGTTTGTTTCACTTGCTTTGTTTCATGAAGTAGTGGTTATCTTCTACTATACCTGGTTAACCTATCAGCATCTTCATCTTTACTGTTTTTAGTGTAAATTGTGAATGATTAAGCCCACAACAGAATGTTACATGAACATGCAAATGATCTTGTGGTAGTAATGGGAAGGGAGGTGGATTTAAAGGAAAATTCTCCGATGTTTTCCGGTTTCTTTAAGTAGGGATTACGTGTGAGACCTTCCAAGTAGGTTGTGCTTATATAACCTGCCTTGGGCATGAAAACCTTTCAGGTGTAAATGTATGTTTAAAGGGGACAGATACCCTGTTCACCCACACCTCTTCTGCAAAACCAAAATTTGCTCTGTTGATTTCAGACTATGTTTTTCAGAACATGCCAGAAGCAAGACAGGCAGGAATTAACAACCGGACAGCCATGTCAAGAGGACTGTATCACACAGCAACAATCTTTATGGGCCGCCAAATGTCAGCTGTCTCAAGCATTGATGATTTCCATGTGCAGCAGAAATCTTCTGAGCTCACAAAGAGCTTTTCAATTTCTGACCCACATACACGTAGACAGCCATCACGGAGCAGCTATATGACAGACAGCTGTGTAGTACAAACTAATAGTGATCTACAGTGCTCAAATAAGTCTGACAAAATAGATGGAAAGACATATCTGCTGATGGGTGAGGAAATGCCAGTCACATCCAGCATATCACAGGAGAATGAAAGAACTCACTGTTTAACAGCAGAATGCAACACAAGTAATTGCAGTGGTAATTTTGTGGAAAAGAACACGTCTCCTGAATGTAACTCCCCGTTACATGAAAGATTAAGTCCTGAAAACAGAACCACTGATTTAAAAAGTGACAGTTCCTGCAAATCGCTGGAAGAAACATTGACACATCGGCACTTCGTAAATGAACAGGAATCTAAACAGCCAATCTCACTGGCGTGTCGCCCTGAACAGCTTGTTTCCGGAAATGAACACTCCAGGGAAAAGTTCTCAGGTATAGTGAATGGGCTTGAAAGGAAGGTTGTCCAGCAGAACTCTGATCTTTCTCCAGTTGGATTTTTATCATGATACCTGGCCACTGCAAGATAACAAATACGAAAAGAAGTCGATTTTTAGATGCAAATGGTGTAGTTCAGGACAAGCCATTGTAGCTGTCAGTCACTTGCCTAAGTTTGGTTTTGTGTCTAAGATACAATAATTTAGAGTACATGCAAATTGTTTATTATTGCAATTGGTAATGGCTTTCTAGATCTTTTCCTGATCTGGTGCAGAGGCATTTCCCCATTGCCTTCATTACTTTTAAAAGAGTATAGAACTGTTACAGAGCATATCTTGAAAAGCCTCTAAAGAGGTGATTCAGCTGGAAAGTATGGTAAATTATTCTGCAAGTTATACTCTTTAACATTTTTGCACACTTTAAAAAGTAATAAAGAGAATGGGGGAAATGCTTTTGCATCTGACCAGGAAAACATCTAGAAAGCTGATACCTCCCTTCTTGTCTTTCTGGCGACAGGTCTAGATCAGCATTTTCAGACAGACTTTTAACAGCTATTTTTAACAAGTAATTTGGCAGTGAAGGGTCTTGATTTTGGATGTTGACATTATTCTACATATGTTTTAATGTATTTTAACCCTTTAAAAACTGTTTCAACACTTCTATATTTAATTTTTTAAATGTTAATAATTTGTTGTGCTGGTGAAAGGTAGTGTAAAAATGAAAATAGACACTTAAAGACAGGACACAGTTTTGAAAGAGTTAAAGAGTTAGTGGTATGGCGTTCTAAGTTAGATCTCTGTTTTACTCAGGGGTGAAAGGGCAGACATTTTTCAATTTTCTGCTAGATTATCTGATTCTCAAATTCAATTCTCATTGAATTTGTTAGAGTTTCCAGGGACTTTTCTCACTCTGTTACTTCTTGGTTATAATTCAGTACTGTGATCTGTTGCTGTTTTTCTGTTTCAGAGCAAGGCATATGTATAGGTGCAATAATTGTTGTTGTTGTCCTCAATTATTTATACTTATTGACATCCTGTCTTAAGGGCCATCTTCGTATTGTTGGTGTCAACTGCAGTAGATCCATTGAATTCATTGTTGAATAGTAAGTAGAGATGGGCACGGCTAAGTCGTGCTGCATCATACGACTCGCACCACCTGGCACCACAGCTGCCATGCATTTGCTCCAAGCTGCCTCCCAGCCTACTGCCCAACTCAAAAGCCTTTGCACGCCACCTGGGTCATCATCTGTTGCTGGCTGTCCAGTCCAGAAAGAAGCTCAGGCTGCCCTTTCCTGCCTCCTCTGGCAACCAACTCCGCAAAAGCCATGTGGGGAGATTCCCCATCCTGCCTCCTTGCCTGAGTGATTGGCTGCCAGAGGAGGTGGAGAAGGGCAAATCGAGCTCCTTGCCAGACTGGGCAGCTGGCGACAGAGAACAATCTGGTTGTTGCACAGAAGCTTGTGAGTGGGGCAGCCGGCCAGGGGTTGTTTGGAGGGAATGTGCGGCAGCTGTGGCACCATGCAGCATGAGTCATACAGTGCAGCATGACTTAAGTCATGCCCATCTCTGGTGATAAGTTAGTTCTTTGAGAAACTCCATTAAGTCATTGGGTCTGAGTCAGTTGAGACTGGCAGTAGGATATTAGCTAAATTGTCACTGTACTACAGAGGTGATATACAAATGAGTTGCATTAGGCTAGTGGAAGAAATATTTGTGGCACATCGCTTAGGACACGATGACAGCTCAATGGGCTCAAGTGTTTGGGGAGACTTTCAGTGTAAACTAATGCTTTAATGTGTGTACTATTTTTTCCATCCTTTCTATTTTTAGAGAGTGGAAGTAATGTTTGTATTTTTGTTCTAGCTCCTGGGGGTTGTCTGCAACTGGACAAAAATGTACAGGATGAAAGTGAAAGTAGAGATGAAAGCAGCGATCTCTCTGTTTCTCTGAGTGAGGATGAAGAAGAAATTAATCTATTAAAACCACACCTAAGTCTACAGGATGTAGGCTGCCACATGTCTTTAAAACCTGCCAATACAGCGTATAATGAAGTACATCAACATTTACAGTGTCATGATACCTCTAGTTTAGCCTCATCCTCTAGTCATAAAACAAGGTAAAAGTTATATCTACATTCTGCTCCCTTGCTATAACATTTTGAACTTGCCGTTGCCCATAATTCTTTGTTTATTTCTAGCAGTAACCCCTTCCCTTGATGTCATAGTTTGATAGCAAAATGTGCAGTGTTTCGAACATTAATTTCCCCAAAATAAGCAGTTCTGTTACTTGCTTGTGAGTGGCAGCCCATGGATTGTTAATGATGACCATTATGTTACTCATGTAGCTATCTTGCTAAATAATCTCTTCTGATCCTTATGTTTTTATGTTTTTAGAACTGCTTGGAGTGTTGCCTTCAGTAACAGAATTTTACATCTTCACTTATCTGCATTGTATGAGGTGGCCATGTGTCTCTTTGTTGGAAGCAATCTATGTTTTACCTTTGAAAACAAGTTTAGTAGACTTTGCTACTCCTCTCCTTGCTTCCGCTGTATCCAGCGGGGGTGCATCACAAGGATATGGCACAATAAAACATGATTCAGGAAGTGTGTCAGTAGCAATACTTTGGCAGAGACTTGGCCATTTACAGTGCTTAGCCAGTGCCTGAAGTAGTGAAATATTTTATGTGCTGTCAAGTTGCATCCAACTATCCAGCTCCAAATAACAAATAATGTAAAAAAATTCCTTTTTACTCTCAGAAAGAATCTACTATTCGTAGGCCGCTACTGTATTCCTTTATAAAAAAAATGTACTATAATCATATTTATTCACTCATTGGGACAAGTTAAATTTTTTATTTATTTATTTACTTACTTATTTACTTATTTATTTATTTATTTATTTAACTTATATGCCACCCACTGTACCCAAAGGTCTCTGGGTGGTTTACAACAATTAAAATACGATAAAAGAGATAAAACAATTAAAATACAATTAAAATATAGATACCCAATTATTTCCAATTCTGTAAGCACCTATGCTGCTTCCCATTCCCCATTGTGGCAAGCCACTTGGGCCTCAAGAGAGAAGGCTGAAACAGTTGTGTTTTCCTCTCACTTTCTAGCCTAGCGCAACTACCATCAGGGAACCTCTTGGTGTCTCACCTAGCTATATGTCTGAATCTTAACTATGTAATAGACTCTAGCTGCTTTCCAAATATCCCAGTTTTCTGGCTTATTTCCAGCTGCCTGACTTTCCAGTCCATTGCCAGGTCTCCTATAAGCTCTTCTGTAACATAGACCTTTGCTCTCTGCCTTGCTTTTTTCAAATAACGCTGTTAAATTGGAGAGGCTAGACTTAACATACATTACTAACAAGAGTTGTGGCTGCATGCACCACAATGTTTACTGATGCTGGAATTCTTTAGAGCAGAGGTACAGTAGTCAACCCCCGTCTGCGGCCCGGTGCCACTCCGTGACCTGAGCCAGACTGGGCCAAGGAGACAGACCTCCTGCCCCCGCCCCCGCCCCCTGCACACACTCCCCTCCCCACAGCTGCTTTGCAGACATGCACCAGCATGAGCACTCCCCCTCCCCTTCATGCATGTGCCTGTGTGAAGGGATGGGTGTGTATGCGGGCGTGCAGGCTGTCCTGCACTTGTGCGAAGTGGTGAGCGAGCGCTCACACTGGCACTGGCAGGTGGGCATGTGCCCTCCCAACATTTTGCACATGTGTCCAAGCATGGGGGGTGCCCCGCCTTCCTCAGAGGCTCAGCCGGTCTGTGGTCCCAGAAATGCTGGGGACTGCTGCTTTAGAGGTTGCTGTTGTAAGTGTTCCTATTTTTTCTGTTCATGCACTTTTTAAAAATCTTGTTTTGCAGACTGTGCATGGAAATGTGCATCACTTGCTCAGTGTTGTCTTCATATGATCATAGAAAAAAATCTTTAGGTTTCTTATGATTGTTGTAGGTTTTTCGGGCTGTTTGGCCATGTTCTGGAGGTTTTTCTTCCTAACATTTCACCAATCTCTGGAGAATATTTGTAGCTGTGGAATCAGCTTTTTGTCCTTTTTAGGAGATTGGGTGATTGTGGTGATCAGGGTGTTTTTTTTTTGTTATGGGTGTATTGTTGTGATAAGGGGGAGGTGATATGTCATTGTGATTAATGGGTGTTGTTACCTAATCTATTGTGTGCAGTGATCACCAGTCCTTGTGGCTGGGTAGAGTTCGTTGACCATTTTGCAGGCTGTAATTTTCAGTGCTGGGAGCCAGGCTTTGTTGAGTTTTATATTTTCTTCTTTTTTGTTGAAGTTGTGCTGATGTTTGTGGATTTCAGTGGCTTTCCTGTGTAGTCTAACATAGTGATTGCTGGTGTTTTCCAGTACATTTGTGGTTTGAAATAGGATTTCATGTCTAGCTTGTTTCAGGGCATGTTCAGCTACTGTCGATTTTTCTGGCTATTTTAATCTGCAGTGTTTTTCCATGTTCTTTGATTCTGGTGTGGATGCTGTGTCTTGTGGCCCCAATATATATCTGGCCACAACTGCAAGGTAGCCGGTATACTCCTGCAGAGGTGAAGGGGGTCCCTTTTGTCCTTTGCGGACCGTAACATTTGTTGTATTTTTCCATGGTGAATTGTATATTTGGGTGGATGCTACTGAGATAGTTCAGAAATTATTCCAGTTTTTCTTCATTGTGGTTCCAAATTGCAAATGTGTCATCCACATATCAGAACCAGTTTGTGAGTGCAAAGGGTGCCGAAGCCAGGGCCTGTTTTTTTAAATGTTCCATGTAGAAGTTTGCTATAACTGGCCCAAGGGGACTCCCCATGGCCACTCCATCTGTCTGTTCATAGAAATGATTATCCCACTGAAAGTAGCTGGTCGTTAGGCAATGTTGGAAAAGGGCCATGATGTCTTCTGGAAAGATCTGCTGGAGGAGTGTCAGAGTGTCCTTTCTCGGTACTTTGCTGAATAGGGATACTAAGTCAAAGCTGATCAGTCTGTCTCTGGGGTTGAATTTTAGGGTGCTGATCTTGTTTATGAAATGTCTTGGGCCTTTGATGTACGATGAAGGTTGACCAATGTGAGTCTGTAGGAGGGTGGCCAGAGATTTCCTCTTTAAATTTTGGTTGATGTCTGTTTTTTAATTATTATTATCATGAGTCTTATCAGGTCTGATGTTCTTTATATAATCTGTGTGCACAAAGCTGAAGATAATTTTGCAAGCCCTTTGTAAACTGAATGGCCATTGTGATGCACAGTGATAAGCCAAAGTACTGTAAAATAACTAGCGTTTCACACTTTCCCATGCATTGAATTTGGAAGAAAAAAACTTGACACTGTCAGGTGTTTTTGTTGTTTAGTCATTAAGTCCTGTCTGACTCTTTGTGACCGCATAGACCAGAGCATGCCAGGCCCTGCTGTCTTAAACTGCCTCATAGAATTTGGTCAAATTCATGTTGGTAGCTTCAATGACACTGTCCAACCATCTCGTCCTCTGTCGTCCAGTTCTCCTCTTGCCTTCACACTTTCCCAACATCGGGGCTTTTCCAGGGAGTCTTCTCTTCTCATGAGATGGCCAAAGTTTTGGTGCCTCTGCTTCAGGATCTGTCCTTCCACTGAGCACTCAGGGTTGATTTTCTTAAGAATGGATAGGTTTGTTCTCCTTGCAGCCCAGTTTGGCAGTCAGCCTTCTTTATGGTGCAGCTCTCATTTCCATACATCACTACTGGAAAAACCATACCTTTGACTATGCGGACCTTTGTCAGCAAGGTGATGTCTCTGCTTTTTAAGATGCTGTCTAGGTTTGTCATCACTTTCCTCCTAAGAAACAGGCATCTTTTAATTTCATGGCTGCTTTCACCATCTGCAGTGATCATAGAGCCCAAGAAAGTAAAATCTGTCACTGCCTCCATATTTTCCCTTTCTATTTGCCAGGAGGTGATGGGACCAGTGGCCATGATCTTAGTTATTTTGATGTTGAGCTGCAGACCGTTTTTTGCACTCTCCTCTTTCACCCTCATTAAGAAGTTCTTTAATTCCTCCTCACTTTCTGCCATCAGAGTGGTATCATCTGCATATCGGAGGTTGTTGATATTTCTTCCGGCAATCTTAATTCCGTCTTGGGATTCCTCCAGTCCTGCCTTTCACATGATGTATTCTGCATATAAGTTAAATAAGCAGGGAG